CGTTGTGGGCTTGCTCCCGAGCTCCCTTACATAACTGCACGCTGGAAATACCACGGCAAACGTTGCCTTGAGTATCAGTGACGGGGATAAACGCGTTCCCTCTGCTGCTTGCTCTTCTAGGTGCCCAAGATCTAAGCAGTTTTTGTGACTCCCGGTGGCTGTAAAAGCAGTAGGAGACAGTGGACGCAAGGAGCTGGGGGACAAACACGTGAGAGCCACAATTTGCACTAGGAATGTTCTGCTGGTTTAGGAGCACTAGCAAGCAGCACAGATTTATGTAAGGGGAAGTGCTGAAGGAGTGACTAACAGGATGAAATGGCACTGTCTTGTTCCGCCAGTCGGTTTTGGGGACAAACGCAGCATTCCCATCTGTTGTTTGCAGTGCTGAAGAGGAGTTTTGGGGGGTTTGTTCCTCTTGCTAGCCGGCACACGTTGATTATTTTCTGGCAAGCATTAGCAGCACGATTACTGACGATTTAATGGCTTCGCCTCCCGGGCAGAGGAGCAAAGGACGTGGTTTTTGTTTGTGTTGAGATGCTCGAAGAGAAAGATAAGCATCAGGTGGCCTTTTTCAGAAGTGCCTCAGAGACTAATCCTCTTGTCAGTCAAGTGCCAAAATCCTTTTAATTGTGCCGTCCCTCTGGCGCGTTTGGCTTCTTGTGTAACCGTGCTTTAGATGTTGACCGGGGAGTTGCAGCCCACGCTGCCTCCGCGCTCGCAGCCTCCTGTTCTCCATCTGGAGCGAGCGGAGCCTCCCTTGCCGAGGACACTGAGGAAGGGGAGCAGAGCTGGCGCGTGTGACCATGGTCACGCCAGAGCTCTTCGACCCTGGCCCGCTCGTGGTCCCGAGATGCCAATGCAGATCCCAAGGTGCCCAAGAGACCTGACCTCCTCGTAGCATCCGTACTCCTTCATGCACGTTCCTCCTCTTCCCTCCCCTCCAAGTGGGACCTTTACGGACACGCTACTCACCACCTTCCATGGGATATTTTCCAGACCTCTTAGGTATTTTGCACGCAAACTATGTGGGAATTCTGCTGATTCATCCCCCAGTCCAGGGGCCTGTTTTCCTGCCATGACCTTTTTGGTGGATCTGGCCTTGTCGCAGGGAGAGGTTAATAATTCTCCTCAAAAGCAGTCAAAGTCCTTCAGGACAGCCTGGCTGCTGTTTATTCCACCAGGCTGTCTGAGATGGTCCGGCTTTGGCCGTGTTCAACCCCAGGCCTTCATGAGGGGCCTGACAGAGCCTTGGCACGGGCTGCCCAGAGAGGCTGTGGAGTCTCCTTCTCTGGAGATCTTCCAAACCCGCCTGGACGTAACCTGTGCCACCTCCTCTGGGTGACCCTGTGTGTGCTAAGGGGTTGGACTAGATGGTTCTCTCAGAGGCCAACCAGGAAGAGGTGGAGGAGCCCTAGGAACTACCCATTTCTCCCTCATTCCCAAAGCCAGGGAGCGTTAGAGTAACTTGGAAGCTTCCTAACCCCAAGGAGCTGCCTCTGGTACTTCCCTCCAAGGCCTTTTTAAATAGGTGGGGAAGATCAGGGACATCCTAAGGATCTTCGTGGAGTGGGGATGAGCCTAGACATGGAGCGTGGTTCGTGCATTGGGTGTTGCGTGGGGCCGGGGCGGCGCTCGGTGCTGTCAGTATCATATTAAATACTTTAAAAAAAACCCTCCATAGTTCAAATTTTCGGAGCTTGTAAGATCAGTGCAGGTATAAATCACCCCATATATGAAAGACCAGCAGCCCTACCTCAGTATAGGCTTCTACTGAGCCCAACAGCATGTCTCTGATTTTTTTAATGGTTGGAAACATCTGCTGTTAAAAACGATGCTTAATATATTTGGCTTCCACTGGCAGTCGTTAGTTCTTTTTATGCCTTTTTTCCTGCCTGATTAAGAACCTTTTAGTGCCTAATATTGTTTCCTCGGCATGCGCTTCTATAGCGTAATCAAGTCGCTTCTTAATCCCCTTTTTGATAAGCTAAAAAGACGGGCTGCTCTCATTTTCTCATTTCAGACGTTCTCTCCGTTCCTAGAGTCACTTTTGTGCGTCCCATCAACATCACCTTCGCTATTTCATTAATCTTCTAGAAATATCAATATCAAAGCAGCTAATGATTCCGAAACGAGCCTCTCGGTGTAGAAGGAGGAGGCTGAACCACCTCCTTCCTCCTACCATCAGCTTCAGGCTCTCCAAGAGCCATTCAGCTCATCCACTTTTCATATTTTATAACTTTTTTGAGGGAAAAAAAAAAAAATCAAAGCTTGGCATTACTAGGTCAAAGCTTCTTCTTGGACATCAAATATATTGCGAATATCAAATGTGCTGCCTTAGCAAAGAAAAAAAAATCAGTTTTGCTTGCTGCTGTCACCTATTTTTTCCCCTACAATCACATTGACTGACACATCCGCCCGCCCTTCGGCTCCTTCCTCGCTGCTACGGTGTCATCTTTCCGTCTTGATGTCCATCTCGCGGCCCCGTCCAGGCCGTGTTGTGGCCTCCTTGGGTATTCAGGCCAGAAAAACTCTTCCAACCTCATAAAATTTCCCTGAGATTGCTTGGAAATGAATGTCAGCCCGGAACAGTTTCCTTCGCTCTTGTAGAGCTCTTGGATGCCAGATGATTTGGATGTGTCAAATATAAATATCCCCAGTGGATAATTGCTGGATAATCCCCTCGGCTGCTAATAGTTGGAAATGCTTCGTCCTCATTGTGGCTGCTGGTTTGCTGCTTGACAGACGTTCAGCCATGGCCATCATAGTGTCTTCTCATTAACAGCTTTGTCTCCATTGAGTAATGAACCGTGTCCTTGCTAGGACGGCAGTTGCCCTCAATACACTCGACAAATCCCTTCTCCCACCCCAGCACTTGCCTGATTCTTCCCAAACTTCCTTCTCCTGCATTTTATGCGCTTTGTGGTTTCTCAATTACCTCAGGGATTATTTGGCCTACAGAACCAAGTGGTCGCTGTTGGTTTTGTGCTTCTGCTTGAGCCCTTCCTTCTGCAGAGGACCCTGCCCATGACCCTTCCTCGCTTGGTCCTAGTCGTAGCCCATCGTTTGCCTCCCAGTTTGACTTGCCATCTAGTCTTAGTCTTGCAAGACTAAGACTATTCAAGAGTGCTGAAATAAACACACGACTGCATATGCAGGGTTCGCAACAGACCATTGGAGAGAGCAGTTCTGTGCTCCTCCATCCTTAGAAGAGTTTGACAGCGATTTTGTCATTGCAGTGACATTTATTTTGCTTGCTACCCAAACTCTTGCATGTATAAGCAGTATATAAGACAAGTTATCACTCTTGGATGGATAAGCAGTGGATAAGACAACTTATCTTTTCGTAACTTTACATATTTTCCCTCAAATTCTGTGCTGTTTTCCACGTGTCTACCCCTTGTGTGGTTGGTCTTGAAGGAGCTGTGTTCAGAGCAAAGTGATGCAAGTGCCCAAATAATCCCCTGCTTCATTTAGTTTGGTGTCTTAGCCGGTATTCCTCCAAATCCAGGCTTCCAGGGAGCTGGTAAGCAATGATTCCCATCAGGATTTGATATTGCCTCCCTTTCCTTCCTTGTGGGAGAAGGAGAAGCTGGCCAGGCACTTGGATAATCCCCCCCAAGCTTGCATTTCGGGGAGGGCCACAACATGGCAAATCTGCAGCAGGGAAAAGGTTTGCTGAGAACCAACAGCAAGTCTTTCTCCTCAAGACCAGTAGATGGTCAAGGGCGATTAATTGAGTTTCCTTAGCGTGCGATTGGGTTATGTGGAGTTGGGTAGGTTGGAAGTTCATCCAAGAGGGTAGCAATGAGCTGCTCTTCTTGAGAACAAGCTAAAGCCTGGCCTGGGCTCTGATAAATGAAGACTGTACCGATGTAGATAGGGGTGTGGGACGTGTCCCCAACGCCTGGAGGGTGCTGTGACCGTCCCCTAGCCAATATCTCCTCGCTCGTCACCAAGACGAGTGGAAGAGAAGCTGGATACAAATAATAAGGAATAAGATGCTGTGGGAAGAGCTCCCTTCCCCAATTTCCATCCAGCCGGAGGGTCTTAAAGTACAGCTAAGAGGATTATGCCGAGAGGGAAGATTTGCATTTCTTAGATGCTGGAGAACTTTGCGGGCAGAGAAAAAACCTGAACGGAAAGGATTGGTTCTCCCTTAATCGGCGCTGATGGGGATGGGGCGCGGAGCTGGCGGCATTTCGGGAGCTGCTCTCCCAAAATAGGAGGGTGAGAAGAAATTCCAGAGCTTTTTAATGCTGAAAAAAGGAATTTGAAATAATAAAAAAGAATTGTCTGCCTTTGGTTTGTGGCTCAGGCTAGCGAGAGCAAGACCGGGAGAAATTATGGCATCTAATAAACCGCAATAGCATCAGCGAGGCAAATAGGAAATAGTTTGGAAAGGCTTGGAGAAAGGGTGATGTGGTGCAGAGCCGCTGAGGAGGAGCCGAGCTGCTCTTCGCTTAGCTCCGAGGGGGATATTGAAGAAGTGCCTGGTGGGGACAGCTCTGACGGCCTTCTTTAAAGAGGCCCGATAGCCCAAACCGTGGCTTTTAAGCCCTTTCGAGGTGAGTGTTGAGGCCCTCCGCTTTGGGGAATATTCCGGTGCTTTTGGCCCCGTAGCACTTGTCCTGGAGGACCCTTCTGCAGGCAGTCTCTGCTCTAGGTTAACATTTGCAGGGCTGCTGAGCACCCCAGGGATGCCTCCTAGCCGGAGGCTCCCGCCTGGCCTCTGTTAATTACCTTAATTCAGCCATTAGCGCGCGTGGGGAGCGTCTCCCGAGGGAGAAGCCTTTCACTGAGCGCCGGAGTTTCCCTGTGCATCCGGCGCCTCCTTTCCAGAGCGAAAACTAACCTTTCTTTCCCTCCCTGTCTCTCATCAGCACCTTGCCCGCCCGGCAAATACAGCCGAGGGAAAAAGGCTGTGTTTTCCCTTGGTTTTCCCTTGGGAATGGTGGTCTTTGGTGGCCCCTGGCTCAGTGCCCGCTCTCTGTGTCTTGCAGGTGAAGGAGTGGCTCTGCCTCAACTGCCAGATGCAGCGCGCGCTGGGCATGGACATGACCACGGCGCCGCGCTCCAAAAGCCAGCAGCAGCTCCACGCGCCGGTGCCGGGCGCCGCGGGCCCGGAGCAGCCCCCGGAGCCGCCCAGGGCGCCCGCCGCTGCGCCCCACGGCGGCCCCCCCAAACCTGCCGCCCCTCAGGAAGCGGGGAGGTCGTCCCCTCAGCACCAACAAGCCAAGCCTTCCTCCTCGGAGCAGAGAAAGACTGCGGGCGAGTCGCCGGCAAGAGCCGCGGCGCCGGCGCCCGGGCCGCAAGAACAAGCCCAGGAGGGTCTCACGGGGAAGCTCTTTGGCTTCGGAGCTTCCCTCTTGACCCAGGCGAGCACCCTCATGTCTGTCCAGCCGGAGGCGCCCGCTCCGAGTCCGCAGCCTTCTGGCAAAGTGCCTCCAAAAATCGTCTTCAGCGACGCCAGCAAAGAAGCCGGTCCCAAAGGCGCGGGCGCTCCGCCTGGGGCGCCGGGTCGCGCTGGCGCCGCGCCGGCCCCGAAGCCGGGAAAAGCGGAGCAAGCCGCCAAGCCAAAGGAAGTGCCGAAAGAAAGGGTCTCGTGCCCGCTCTGCAAGGCGGAGCTCAACGTGGGCTCCGGCGAGCCCCCCAACTACAACAGCTGCACCAGCTGCAGGCTGCAGGTCTGCAACATGTGCGGCTTCAACCCCACGCCTCACCTGGTGGAGGTAAGGGGGCTCGCGCACGCGCGTGCTCTGCTGTGGGTTGACCACTGGCTTGGGAGGAGGGTTGCTGTGTTTCTCTGTGAGGCCGGGAGGGGGTTCCAGCCTCCTCGAGGCTGTTTTCAGCCTCATAAAGCCCATTAGTGCTCCCCTCGTTATCGCCTGAGAGACTGCAGGTGCTGCCTCCTGTTGAGGCCTTGGCACGTGCGACCACCAGCAGCGTAAGGTCTTGTGCTGCCCAAGAGCAGCGTAGTCACTCGTCAGGCTTGAAATTGCATCCTGTGGAGGTTGAACTTTCCATGCTCGACAAAGTGGAGAAGGTCTTCCAGGTCCTTGGACAAGACCTGGCTTTCTCCTGACCCATGGAGATGCTGAAGGGCAACCGCTTGGCTTGGTGGCCAGGACTTGCCCTAGGGGCAAGCAGGGGAAGGTGGGTGCAGCACGTTTCAGCTGGGCTTATGTTGGGCTCTGCTTGGCCTGGAGATGGGAGACAGGTGCCTGGGTTTGGTGCAAACCAGGCGCACGCATCCTGCTCTCCAGGAGGTTCACGGGCCTGGTGGAAACCTTTGCCCAAGGGCACTCCGGGCTTTCCTCTGAAAGTGCTGCATCTTGTAACGAGTAAGACACAAAACAGCTATCATCAACACAGGCAAAATCTAACAGGAGCCCTAAATGCCCAGAAGTGACGTTGCTGATACCTTGGCCTGGCTCCGCCGTGAATAATTGGGCACGTTTGGGGCCTCCAGCTCCTCGCTGCAGTTTCAGTTACCCCCAATAACTTCCTCTGCTTCCTGAAGTCGTTCGCCGTCGCGTTGGGTGCGGAGGAGCGCTGTCCTTCCCGAGCAGGTAGGAAGGTCTCAAACCCTGTTCATATTTCGACGCTCGTCGGATGGCCCCGACCTCTTACGTAGCACCGTTTTCCATCGAAATGTTCTGCTTCTTGCTCCCACCTAGAGTCACTTTTATGCTGCGCCTTAAAAAGGTTTTGAACTGTGAAAGGCTGGAGAAAAAAAAACCCCAAACCAGCAATCTTCCCAGTGCAAAATGAGTGTTTTCATAATAGAGCTACATAGAAAGCGGCTGTAGTTTGGATGTTGGAATATAACCTCCAGCCATCCGTCTCGGTGGAAACAAGCTGGAAATTATTTACCGGCGTGTGTGGTGTATTTTTAGTAACACACCTTTCTTAATATGTGCAGAATTCACTCACGAGCAGGAGACCTGGGTACCACTTAGGCACCGTTTCTGTCCCGTTCTGTGTATTTAGGTGAGAAAATCAGGTAGCCAGGCTTGGCCTTGAGCAGGGATGCATGTATCACCCTTCAGGAATGCATATATCACCCTTGGACGTAGCGGGGCTCGAGCCATGAGTGGCTTTGACGATTTAGGACCTTGACGGTGAGTGAAAGCTGAGGAGGTTTCACCCGTTTGCAGGGGAGACGGGCAGGTGCAGCTGGAGCTCGTGCAGCTTCCTCAGCCTTGGCTTCAAGTAGCGTGCGTCACGGCGACCCTCAGGAGAGCGCCTGGTGGTCTGCTTTCCGTTCGGAGGAAAGGGGAAGTTTTGCTGCAAAGCAGCGATAAGAGGACGTGTTATTTTGCCTCCAGAACTGCTGCATCACTGCTGCTTCAGCAAGTAGTCAGGGCTTTGCGTCACTCCGGGGATGGTTTCAAGGCAAAAACGCTCAATCGCGCCGGAAGACGAGGCTGAACAACCTCCTCGTGCTGATGCAGGACAAGTGTTTGGGCTGCGTGGGTCGTCCTCGCTGCCGGAGAGGCACTAACAGACTTCCACTGAGGGAGGCCTTTCCCTTTGTACTGATGCAGTGGGAATCGTAACCCCAGTTCTGCCCCTCGTGCTGGTTGCAGGTGCTCCACGGCATCATGTAGTGCTCGATGACCCCCAGAGATAAGCTGGGGAGCGAAGGAGGCCAGGAAAGAGTCCCAGAAAAGAAGAAAGCAGGCGGCAGAGGATATATTATCCATACATACACCAGGCTTGGCAGCAGTGGATGCACCTGCAAAGCTCAGAGGCCAGGTATTGTCTCTGTCGAGACCATCAGGACCATCCCTGGGGTGTCTTGCTGCAGATGCCCCAGGGACAGCCCCGCTGGGTGCCACCTACCCTGCAGCGCCCTGGCCTGCTCTTTGGGACAGTATCTGGCTGTTTCTCCTGCCTGCAAGGTGAGTGATGAAGAGGCCGACAGCAGCCTCGCCCTGTAGGCACCTGTGGCTGCGGGTAGGGTAATACCGAGTCTAGGTGCTGCAAGGGATACCGAGTCGAGGGTTCGCACTCGGCAAAGTATTTGGGAGCCTTTAGCACCAAGAGCCAGGGGGAATTGCTCCCAGTTTTGCAGGTCGTCCGTGCAAGAGGGTCCCTCAACGCAGACGGGGTGCACCGGGACGCCCGGTGACTTCTCTCTGCAGACGAGCAACGCTGAGAGGCCTTGGACTAACCTGCAGCTAGGTTAGTCCTAGGTTAGCCGAGCTGTGCGGGTGCAGGTGGGCTAATGAAAGGGGAAAATGTGGAGAAACGACCCCGCTACCGATGTTGGCTAATAGCAACGTCTGGAAAGAAGCCGGTCCTCTTGAAGGAGCTGAACTGGGGTGGATAGGCAGGGCTGCAGGTGGAGATGGAGCCCTGCGAGGCTGTTAAACGATGGTCCAAGGCCTCCTCCCACGTGGTTTGCTGCTCGCCCGGTGCGGACAGCTGACCGTCAGGACGTGCCAGCTCTCGCCTCGGCGCGCGCGTGACGGAGACGGGGGACGGCAGCCGGGCAAGCCGGCAGGCGGCTCCCGAGGCAGGAGCCGCGTGACGGGCGGGCGCCGTTACGAAACGCGCGGAGCAGGGATCCCAGCGCGGAGCCGCCCGCGCCTGCGGAGGGGCAGGGAGACGAGGAGCCGGCCGTGCCCGGAGGCAGCGCCGCGGAGCCGGTGCTCCGTGCTGACCAGCACAAAAGCCTCCCGCAGGTGCCAGTGAATCCGGAGTGGCTCCTGAGCCCCTCTCCCGCTGGTAGCCCTGGGCAAAATGAGCCCCTTTTCCCGAATGCATCGTGCTTCCCGAGCTTGCAGGAGGCTCCTTGCCAGGAGGCAACACCCCGGAGCAGCCGAGCCGAAGCCGAGGCTGGAAGTGCAGACCCCTCGTGCACGGGTGCCTTGCTCTTTGCTTGCGTAGGCTGAGAGAGGAGGAGCGAAAGCCTCTGCTCTGCGGTGATGCCCTCTGGGGGAAACCTGCTCCTTCAAACCCCGTTCAGCCCTGGTTCTTGCTCCCTTTTGGAGCTCTCCTGGAGCCGGAGGTGTTTGTGGCGCCCGGATGGGTTCCTTGGGTGCATCCCTGGATCCTTTCCTTCGGAAGCCCCTTGTGCTCCAGCGTGTGCAGAAGCAGGAGTCCTCCAGGAGCAGCCTGGCAGGTGAACGGAGGGAGGGTAGGAGAAGCTTTTGCCCCTACCTGCCGTCCCCTGAAACTTCACATCTCCCCGGAAAGCTTCCTGTTGTTTACCCGTGATATTTTCAGCCCCATCCCACTCCCGAGCTAAAGATGGAATCAGGAGCTCTGGGTGCCTGCCTTCCCCTCCCACTTCCCCGCTGTGGTGCAGAGGGGATCTAAGGAGCTGCGTCTCCCCCGGCGTTTCAGCAGAGCACGTCCAAAAGACCCGAAAGATGCCAAAAGTGCCGCTCTCTGTGGCGACACCGGCTGAATCGAGTAGGTGTCAAGCGGCCGGAGGAAGCGGCTTCCTCCTTTCCAGGTGATGCGAGGTGGGAAAGGCGCCTCTTTCCCTGAATACCGGCATGAGGTGGGCGACGAATCCGGCTGGGACGTCGTCTCCTGTCGCTCTCCTTCCGTGCTGGGAATGGTTGTGCCCGGAGTTTTTCTGCGGCGAGTGGTGTTTCCGATCAGTATTGCTCAGCTCTCCGAAGTGCCAGTCTTTTTCCGAAGCAAAGTGCACTTGTTAGATGTTTCCTCACCTTGTCCTTATCCAGAGAAGCGGATTTCTCACGTGGGTCTCGAAGCTGACGTGATCCGTCCGTGTTCTCGTTGCACCGGGATGGGTTGCACGGTCAGGGCCAGGTCAAGAGGCTCCTCCAGGCTGTCACGCCTGAGGTGCTGCGAGGGCCACCAGCGCCGTCTGTCCTCTAGCAGGACTGGCTTCCCTTTGGCCATGGCTCTTGGAGGAGAACGTCAGCCGGGCCCTACAGCGGGGACTAGGACAGCTGGAGAGAGAGAGGCCCCGTGTCCAGACACACACATGGAGTTTTAGCAGTGTTTTCCAGGAGAACCGTGGAGGTTGTGAGGGCCTGTGGCTCTGGAGGCCTCTCTAGGAGAGCAGGAGGAGGTCATGGTGATGAGGAAGCCCAAATGTGGTGCCCACCTCCAGCTCTCTTGCCTCCATGCGTGTTAACCAGCTTTCACCGGGAAGGAGCAGAGCAGAAGGTGAATTGAACCCACCTCATCCTACCTCCTACAGGAATCTGGCTCCTGGCAACAGCTCGCGATCCGACGTGCGCCGAATCGGAGCCCGCTCCTCACACTGCAGCCTCTGCCCGCTGGTTGCGCCGGTAGGAATCAGGTTCCCCTTGTGGGAAGAGGGGCTCCTGTTTTCCTGGGGAGGTGGGAGATGGTTCCTACCTAGAGCAGCATCTGGCTGGGTC